CGGCTTTGCTCTGCCTCAGGGGAACGAGAGCTTCTGCCCCTACTCCGTCAACTGCTGCAGATATCGACTATGAGGCTACAGTCACCGAATGCCGCATCGATCTGCGGCTCAACTAATTTAACACAGATAGGATAGTTGCTTATGTATTAGGATAGTTAATATTAAGGTAAATAAATGGTGGCGAAGGTGTGGCTATTGGGGGAGGCTGGAGGCCACGTTGAAAAAAAAAAAAAAAAAAAAAAAAAAGTAGTAGTAGTAATGGTAGTAGTAGTCTGTTCGTCATAGTAGTAATAGTAGTTGTGGAAGGAAGTTGTACAGTCAGTCATTAACACACACACACACCCACCCCACACACACACACACACCCACACACACACACACCCACACACACACCCACACACACCCACACCATCACCTTTGATGACGTACATACTCTAACCTCATTAAGTAATAAGTGAAGTTAACGAGCTGAGTTAAGTGCCTCACAATGGCATGTTTACTTTAATCACCTTCAGTAACGAGTCCCTCTGATAAAGTGACTTATGGACGGGATAACGCGCTTATAAGGCCTGGTTGACGGTAAAGTGAGGGTGTTCTGGTTGACGGTAAAGTGAGGAAGGTCTGGTTGACGGTAAAGTGAGGAAGGTCTGGTTGACGGTAAAGTGAGGGTGTTCTGGTTGACGGTAAAGTGAGAAGTCTGGTTGACAGTAAAGTGAGAAAGGTCTGAAGTTGACAGTAAAGTGGGGGTGTTCTGGTTGACGGTAAAGTGAGGAAGGTCTGGTTGACGGTAAAGTGAGAAGGTCTGGTTGACAGTAAAAAGTAGGGAAGGCCTGGTTGACGGTAAAGTGAAAGTGTTCTGGTTGACGGTAAAGTGAGGAAGGTCTGGTTGACGGTAAAGTGAGAAGGTCTGGACGGTAAGAGTGAGGAAGGTCTGGTTGACGGTAAAGTGAGAGTCTGGTTGACAGTAAAGTGAGGAAAGGTCTGGTTGACGACGGTAAAGTATGAGGAAGGTCTGGTTGACGGTAAAATTAAGGAAGGTCTGGTTGACAGTATTAAAGTGAGGAAGGTCTAGTTGACGGTAAAGAGTAAGGAAGGTCTGGTGACGGTAAAAGTGAGGAAGGGTCCTGGTTGACGGTAAAAGTGAGAAGGTCTACAGTTGACGGTAAGTGAGGTGTTCTGGTTGACGGTAAAGTGAGGAAGGTCTGGTTGACGGTAAAGTGAGGGTGTTCTGGTTGACGGTAAAGTGAGGAAGGTCTGGTTGACGGTAAAGTGAGGAAGGTCTGGTTGACGGTAAAGTGAGGAAGGTCTGGTTGACGGTAAAGTGAGGAAGGTCTGGTTGACGGTAAAGTGAGGAAGGTCTGGTTGACGGTAAAGTGAGGAAGGTCTGGTTGACGGTAAAGTGAGGAAGGTCTGGTTGACGGTAAAGTGAGGAAGGTCTGGTTGACGGTAAAGTGAGGAAGGTCTGGTTGACGGTAAAGTGAGAGTCTGGTTGACGAGCAAGTGAGAAGGTCTGGTTGACAGTAAGTGAGGTGTTCTGGTTGACGGTAAAGTAGGGTGTTCTGGTTGACGGTAAAGTGAGGGAAGGTCCCTGGTTGACGGTAAAATTGAGGAAGGTCTGGTTGACCCAGTAGAAGTGAGGGTGTTCTGGTTGACGGTAAAGTGAGGTGTTCTGGTTGACGGTAAAGTGAGGAAGGTCTGGTTGGTAAAGTGAGGGTGTTCTGGTTGACGGTAAGTGAGGGTGTTCTGGTTGACGGTAAAGTGGTGTTCTGGTTGACGGTAAAGTGAGGAAGGTCTGGTTGACGGTAAAGTGAGGAAGGTCTGGTTGACGGTAAAGTGAGGGTGTTCTGGTTGACGGTAAACTGAGGAAGGTCTGGTTGACGTAAAGTAAGGTCTGGTTGACGGTAAAGTGAGGAAGGTCTGGTTGACGGTAAAGTGAGGAAGGTCTGGTTGACGGTAAAGTGAGGGTGTTCTGGTTGACGGTAAACTGAGGAAGGTCTGGTTGACGGTAAACACAGCTGTTCCATAGAAAAATAAACGGTAATTGACACTTAAAAAAACAGTTGGTTTGCGCAAAGAAAAGTTGGTTGACGCAAAGACAAGTTGGTTGACACGAAGAAAAGTTGGTTGACAAAAAGAACGGATGGGTGACAGATTAACAGACTAACGGTAGACCATAACTAACAGATAAGTAACAGTAAATTGGGTCAGATGAAAAAAAATATATATATAAAATACTAAAAATTACGTCAGAATGATTCTTTGTCAAATTAGCGTAAAAAAAAAAATTACATAAAGGGGGGAAAAACAAAAAGAAAACGAGCTTTTATTTCAGGGCGGACTTAACAAAAGACAGATTAAGTTCAGCTTTTTATCCCAGTTAAAACAAACACCTTTTTTTTTTAAACTGACGGATGAGTTTGGGTCGATGTTTTTATCAATTAAATAAAAAAAACACGGTGTTTTTGTAGTAGTGTTTTATTTGTGGTTTATTAAGTGGATATTAAAACACTTAGTAATTTTAATTTAAACCAATTATGATTTGATGTCCATAAACAAACGCTATTAATCTCTGCCTGATAAACCACATGTAATTAAATGGGTTTATACTATAGGAATTAATTACCTCCTTGTAACGGAATTTTCTCTTCATCTATTCCGTTATATGGGATTTCACATCTAATGGACCCTCGATATAACGAACATTCATTTGTATATAGTTTGTTAGATGGAGGTTTTATATCTAATGGACCTTCGATATAACGGACTTCTTTCTCCACATAATCCGTTATATGCGGGTTCTACGTCTAACGGACCCTCGATATAACGGACTTAACTCCATATAAACCGTTAAATAGAAGTTTCACTGTATATTGTGGTTTATTTAATCCAGGGATAAGACGGGTTGGTCTTTAAATATCCCTGAATTATAGGCATGGATTATTGGTTTATAATATATACGTGGTAACCTATAATCTTGGTTTATTTGAATATTAAAACGGTAATGACTTTTCTGGTTTATTTCTGCTATAATTTAATCTGTATTCACACTAATTATACCTATATAATCTACCACAATTATAGTACTTAATGTCATTTATATAATTATCTATATTCTATCACTATATATAACATTTGATATAATTTATACTATAATTTGCTATAATCTTGGTATACATTTGATAACACTTAAATTACCTAATTATCTATCACTATTATAGCACACTTCATACAAAACATAATTATAGGATACATGACATCAATTGCACTTAATTATTTGTATAATTACTATAATCTACTACAAGGATGTCACACTAATTATATTAATGCATATAATTGGCATCCTGTACACAATAGTTAATTTAGTGGTATAATTTAATATAATCTCATTGGTAGGGGAGGCTTATATTTTACAGTATAATTACAGAAATTATCACTAGTATAATAATTTGTATATAATTTATTCTATAACGCCCTATAATGTGGATGTTATGACACACTTGACATCATTCTATAATTGTCTATTGTTAAAGTACATGATATAATTCCCTATAATTATCTATCGTTAAAACATGATATAATTCCCTATAATTATCTATCGTTATAACACATGATATAATTCCCTATAATTATCTATCAAGTACATGATATAATTCACTATAATCTATCGTTAAAGCACATGATTTAATTCCCTATAATTATCTGACGTTAAAGTACACGATATAATTCCCTATAATTATCTATCGTTAAAGTACATGATATAATTCCCGATAATTATCTATCGTTATACCACACACATTCAGTTTATCGTTCTTCCAATAATTATCTTCATTTGTCCTTTTTTTTGTTCGTTTATCACCACTTATTACCGTTTTCATTCATTATCCATACGTGGTCTTATTTATCCATAGTTGTTTTATCCATAATTCGTATATTTTTGTCATTATGTACATGTATATTAACAGTAAATAAGGTTTATGTTATTTATCCATTATCCATAGTTTGGTTTATATGTATTTATCCATAATTCGTAATCCAAGTGGTGGAAATTTGGGGGGGGGGGTGTTTATCCTAATCTGTAAGTTTTGTATGTATACGAATCTATAATCCATAGGGGTGCTTATCCATATTTCATGCGTTGGGTTCTGTCTATTCCTAATCCATACTCCTTATATAGATTAGGTTATCCATAATCCATACCTTGCAGTCTATATATATTTTCACAATCTTTAAACTCAAAACACTTATCCATAATCCTTAAATAGTTTTTATCTATGTCACCATCCATAATATATACTGTCTTATCCACTATCCAATCGTTGTTTATCCATTGTTCCATATGGAGTTAGTGGTCACCTCCATAAAGAAGCAGGTGTCATATCCACTTATCCATAAACAAACCGCTGTCATATCCACTTATCAATAAACAGCTGTCATATCCACTTATCCATAAACAGCTGCCATTGTCACTTATCCATAAGCAAACAGGTGTTATGGTCACTTATCCATAAACAAACACCTGTCATATCCACTTATCCTTAAACAAACAGCTGTCATGGTTACTTATCCATAAACAATCAGGTGTTATGGTCACTGAATCATTAGCAAACAATTGTCATATCCACTTATCCATAAACAAGCAGGTGCCATTGTCACTTATCCATAAACAAGCACCTGTCATATCCACTTATCCATAAACAAACAAACAAACAAACAGCTGTCATGTTAACACTTACCTATGACACATATTGGTGCTTAGTGACATCATTATCCAGTAGTCGTAATATCCACATCGTATATCCACGCGGTGTAGGTTTATCCACTTTGTATAAGATATATCCACTCGTTCGTTAATCCACTTGATGCTCGTTTTATCCATCCTTTGAACGTTTGTCTGGTATATCCAATCTATTATGTATAATTTGTGTATAATGAAAAATATGTGTAATTGTCATTTATTTTGGAGTTTTTCATTCGATTCACTATTTTTTTCTTATTTCTTATTTTTACTTATTTCGTCTTATTTTCACTTTCTTATTTCGACTTACTGTATTCCAACTTAATTTGTCTTAATTCGTTTTATTTCGACTTCTTTCGTCTTATTTCGACTTATTTACATCGTATTTCGAGCAGAGGTTAACGTCTGAACGCTAACTCGAACATATTCTTAAACCGAACTCCAAAAAATCCGATAATCCGGAATTCGTTTAACCGGAATTGATTCAGAGATGTAATGCTGTTTTTCCGTAATTCTGTATGTAACAATTAATTTCAATATTTCGGTAATTGAAAATAATTAACCGACTAATTGGACTTTTTCAACCACTATCCAGGACTTAATGTGTACATCCTGACTTTATCTGGACTTTATCCAACGTTCATTAATAATCCGGATATCCTTCACTCGTTGAATAAAGTTGGATTTTACCTTATCTTTTATTGATTATATCCGGACTTATCCGACTTTTTGGAATATTTATGGATTTTTATCCATTATTCACTTCATATATTTTCACTCATTAATTTAATCCAGACTTTATCCATAATCCACTAATATTAACAACTTTATCCCTGTATTAAATATATTAGGACTTTATCCATCACTCGCTACATATATCCATTATCCAGTCTTTATCCCGCTTTTATTGGATATATCTCGACTTTATCCATATTTTCACTGGATATGCCTGAACTTTATCCTCACTATATCTATCACTTGTTTACTCTTGACTTTATCCAACACTCACTAAACTTATCCAGACGTTTTCCATCTCACTAAACTTATCCAGGCGATATCCACTACACACTAAACTTAGCCAGGCGTTATCCATCTCGCACTAAATTTATCCAGGCGTTATCCATCACACACTAAATGTATCCAGGAGTTTCCAACACTCACTAAACTTATCCAGACGTTATCCACTACACACTAAACTTATCCAGGCGTTATGCATCACGCACTAAATTTATCCAGGCGTTATGCATCACGCACTAAATTTATCCAGGCGTTTCCATCACTCATTAGATATATCCAGATTTTATCCACCACCCATTAAATTATTCAGACGTTATCCATCACTCACTAAAATTATCCAGACGTTACCCATCACTCACTAAAATTATCCAGACGTTACCCATAACTCAACTTATCCAAACATTTTCCATCTCACTAAACTTATCCAGACGTTATCCATTTCACTAGATATATCCAGATTTTATCCACCATCAGTAAAACTTTTCTAGGCGTTATCCATCACTTAGTTAAGCTTATCCAACACTTATTTATCCAGATTATCACAACTTATCCAGGCTTTGACCAACACTAAATTTTCCACACTGTATTCACAACTTCACATATATCCAGACGTTATCCACGGTTTAGTAATTTATCCGAACGTTAACCTACAATCACCATACTTATCCATCTGAACGTTATCCAGAGGTCAAAGGTGTTACCATTTTCAAAACAATTCACAATTTGTTTTAATTATTTTTAAACTTTGAAAAAAATTTATATTTTTTTTATTTCCTGTTAAAATTAATGATTATTTATCAATCTCGAAAGTACGTAATTAAATCCCAATTAATCCTTTTATAATAAATGCAATAATTTCGTAAATATATAACAAATCCAAACAGTAATCTCGTTTGATATATAAGGAAGTATATGTAATCCTGCCTCTCCAAATATGTGTAATCCTACCCATGTGTAATCCTCCCTATCCAAGTATATGTAATCCTACCCATGTGTAATCCTCCCTATCCAAGTATGTGTAATCCTCCCTATCCAAGTATGTGTAATCCTCCCTATCACACTATTATGGGGGGTGTGGGAGATGTACCCATGTTTGGTAAATCCTAGTGTTAAGTTAGGATAAATACGATAGTTACCCATTTATCGTAAGGTAGGGTTAACGTTCTCTCTTAATCGTCTTCTGTACGTTTTTTATCTTAACGTCTACACTAACTGTGGTAGGGTGTGTAGGTGTAGTGGGAGCGGGTGTGTTGTGTTGAATATTTACGGTGTGGATGAGTGTGGATGACGGTGTAGTTAAGAATTTGTATGATGTGGGTGTAGGTGGTGACGTGGGTGTAGTGTGTGTGTGCGTATGGGTGTATATATATATATGTGTGTGTGTATGTATAGACCTGTATGTGTGTAGAGGAAACAGCTGTAGCAAGAAGCGCTCGGGTGTGTCCAGGGCAATTCACGAATATACACACAACTGTTATTGACTTTGTTATTATTGAACATAACTCATGGTCATCTCTGTCTGTGTCTTTCTGTGTGTCTGTCTGTGTGTCTGTCTGTGTCTGTCTGTGTGTCTGTCTGTATTTTATGTCCCTCTGTTGTATATAAGTGTTAGATATATGTCTTTGTTCTTTACGGGTTAAATTTGTGTGTGTGTGTGTGTGTGTGTGTGGAAATCGGGCAGCTTGTAATAATGTTTGTGTATGTATGTATGTACGTGTGAAAGGAAGCAATGCATGTGTAGTGTAATATGTGTATTTGCATTACTGAGGGTGTCTGTGTATGAATATGGGAAGGGATAAAGTATGTATGTATGTATGTATGTATGTATGTATGTATGTCCTAACCTTAACTAAATTCAGGACTAAAAAAAATGGCCTCTAATTACTATTTACTGCTTTCAGGAAATGAGAATAATTAAGGATAACCTTTGCTTTAAATGTCATATCCATAATGATTCATGAGTTTGACGGTGATTACGAGGAAGAGTGAGGGTGATTTGAGTGGTGATTGGTTTATTGTTTATGAGTAATTGAATGGTTTTGGCGTATTGTGTTGAGTATGGAGAGAGAGAGAGTAACTATTTTATTGTTTAAGTTTAATTTAATGTTTTCCTATTGTAGTGAATATACCTGCTGTGTGTTTTAGAAAGGACACACACACACACACACACACACACACACACACACACACACACACACACACACACACACACACACACACACACACACACACACACTGCCATTACACATTTCCATTTATCATTAAGGCATTACAAGACAGATAAGTTAGTCTATATAAGAAAATAATAACTGAACGGAAGTAACAGCGGCAGGAATGACTTAGCAGGAGCGGGTGTATGAATCTGTCGTCACTTTCATTCTACTGTTTTGTTTAGTGATTTTTGAAGCCTTATGACTTATGGGGGGGAGAGGGAGCGAGTGAGAGGGGGAGAGGGACCGAGTGAGTGGGGAGGAGGGATCTTGTGGGTGGGTAGGGGAGAGGGACCAGTGAATGGGGGAGGGATCAGGTGGGTGGGTAGGGGAGAGGGGGGGAGGGACCAGGTGGTGGGGGGAGGAGGGTCTTGTGGGTGGGTAGGGGGAGAGAGGGGGAGGTAAAAGTTGTATGCAGAAGGTAGAAGAGGAGGAGGAAGAGGGAAGAAGAGGAGAAATGTGTTGGAAGAGGAAAAGGAGAAACCGACCTTGGACGTGGTGATGGGAGGGAGGACGGAGTGAGACAGGAGGTGAAAGTTGTGTGGGGAGGAGGGAGAAGGAAGAGAAGAATAAGAGAGAGAAAAAGTGGCCCTGACCTTGTGGAAGAGGGAGAGAGAGAGTGATAAACAGTAGATAATAGATATAAATGGTAATAAAAGCAGGAGGAGGAGGAAGGGGGTAAAGAGGGAAGCAGGGAATAGGAATGTAGCAAAGCAGTTATACAGGTTGTGAGGGTCTCTCTCTCTCTCTCTCTCTCTCTCTCTTCAAAAGGTTAAAAACAAAGACACACTAAGAATAAATATGGCGTCGATTTTGGCGGAAGACTCTACGTATTTATGAGAATCGACCCAAACATATTTATAGTTACGGTCGAGTCATAGTGTTATTTCGACGCCATATTGCCCACTATTGTCTCTCGTAGTAACTATTGTGTATCGGTGATGTTTTTTCGTTTGTGATTAAAAAAAAATTATCGTAAAAAAGAAAGATATCGTAAGGAGGGAAATTATCGTAAGAATGTTATCGTGAAAAGTATCGTAAGATCTTGTGAGATTATGGGATTTAAACACCTGTGACTGGTATTTAAAGACATTTGAACCCTTTGACTCCGAGGTTCACGTTTTAGGGTAGTGTTCGTCTGGGGTTCACATTTAAAGAACCATTAAGAGTGTTGATGAACCTTTTTTTCGAACCCTTACGTCTGGGGTTCATATTTAAAGTACCGTATGAAGGTTCACTATTATAGAGTGGGTGTTCGAAACTTCACATCTGTGGTATACGAATAAAGAACCATTTATCCGGACTGTTACATCTGGGATACACAAATAGATAACCGATTATCCGAAGTGTCTCTGTCAAGACCTTTTTATCCGGGCCGTTACATCCAGGGTACACGAATGAACAATTGATTATCTGAATTCTTCCCATCAGGATCCACCCGATTATCCGAATTCCTGCCAGGACTCAAACGATTAACCGAATTCATCTCATCAGGATCCAACCGATTATCCGAATTCCTGGCAGGACCCCAAACGATTATCCGAATTCTTCCCGTCAAGACCCGTTTATTCGGACACATAGAGAACCCATTTTATCCGAACTCCCCAAAATCCGGACCCATTCTATCGACTGCTTCATTGTAATAATCGATCGGATGGTCAGGTGGTCGGTTGGCGGTGAAACCCAAGCGAGGTAACTGGATTATGTCAAGGCCAACCGGTCACCCAGTCACCGAGGACGGGACTTGCTGCACTCTGTTTATGCTTTAGTCAAGTCCAAGGTGTAGGACTTTTGGCCAGGTGTATGAAGAATGTGGTGTAGTTAAGTCCAAAGCATATTTTCTTGTTATTGGACTTTGGACTTATGGCTGATATATGTTAACAGTGACGTGTTATAACTGGACTTGATGTTGTGTTTGATGTGACTTTAAGTCCAGCCTGTTGGACTTTACTCGATGTTTCTTGTGAATAAATAACTCGAATGTGAAAAGTGTGTGAATGCTGCAGTGTTGAGTGGCTGTGAATGTTGCTAAAAGTTGGTTGCCGGGCTGCGAATGTTGCTAAAGTTGGTTGCCGGGCTGTGAATGTTGCTAAAAGTTGCATTGGTGAGTGGCTGTGAATGTTGCAGTGATGATAACATGTGAATCTTGTTGAGTTCGAATGAGACAAATGTTTCACAGCTCAAGGAATGTAAAATGTTGCCGTGTGCAGAGCAGGAGGCGACTATTACTGAATGTTACACCGTGCAATGTAATACCTTGTCATCGTTCACAACTCGACGTTCACTTCACTCTCCCCCCGGTGTCTTCCAGGTGACATTTAACTCGTGAAATATTCTACAAACTATATCTTAAAATCCGCATTTGTTTTGAGTTAGAAAAACGCTTGGCTGACGTATCACAACCCCTCATGTGGCAAGCGTTCGTAAACAACACGCTTATTTTACCTCTTTCGCAAGCGTTGACGTCATAATTTTCCTTATTCCTGTCGTTGAGGCGAAGATTAATCACGTTTTTATCCACTAAGACACTTTAATCACTTTTTGGTATCGGTTAAAACACAGTAGAGGTGTATTTTGCTATGTAAGTTCCGTCCACCACTCATCACAAGGAGCTGGGCGCACCGTACGTCCTCACCCCACCACAGCTGGAGGCAGACTGATTCGCTGAGAACTCGACTACTGGCTGGTGGAGAGACTGGAGTTGTAGCGTCTGGCTCAAGCTAGTGTGAGTGTGCGCTGGTTGGTGGTGGTGGTAGTAGTTGTTGTAGTATTGGTTGGTTGTTAACGGTTGTGGTTAGTGGGTAGGTGGATGCATAACGATTGTGGTTGATGGTAGTGGTAGCTCAGTGTGTATTGGGACAGAATGGTGGTAGTTAGAGAGAGAGAGACGGTGTTGAAATTACCACTTGTCATAGTCACAACAAATGCCTAAGTCATATGCCATCTCTCTCTCTCTCTCTCTCTCTCCACCATTTTGCCCTCAAGCACTTAACTACCACCATCGTTATTAACTCATCTACCACAATCATCAACCACTATTTACTGAACCATCACAGAGAAGGAAGGACAAAGTAAAAGGGGGAAATGTAAAGAAAGACTAAAGAGGAAGAGGAGAGAAACTGGAAAGAATTTGACAAGTTTTATGGAAGCTCTGTGATATAGGGCTTCTTATTCTTTCTTATTCTATTTCTTTTTGGTATTTTCCCTCCTTTTCCTTCTTTCTCTTTCCTCTTTCTCCTCTCCTTCCTTCTCTTCCTTCTCCCTGCCCCACCTCCCTCTTTATCTTTTTCTCCCTCCTCCTCCGCCTCCTCCTTATTCTTCTGTATCCTTTACCTCCTCCTCTTCCTCCTACGCATCCTCATTCTTCTTCTTTGTCTCCTCCTCCCCTTTCAATCTTTTCTTTCTCCTCTTCCTTCTCCTCTTATTTTCTTCTTCGTTTAATTTGTTTTCTATCTTTTATTTAAGTTCAAAAGGAGAGAGAGAGAGAGAGAGAGAGAGAGATAATCATTTTCCCATTAACAAGTTGTTGGGCATTTGCTCATTTTTTTCCAATCACTTTATTTGTCTTTCAAACGCAAGACGCTACTTAGGGCCAAAGCATTGAAGGGCAAAGCATTTTTAATATTTTTCACTTAAATGGTGGGTTTTTTTTTTTTTTGAATCGCATGACTTAATGTTTGAAGCGTTCGTCTCTGTGTTTGTACTCTCGGTAGACACTGTTATAAGTTGATATTTTCCTCGTCAAGACACAATGTTTGTAACTGAATTGCTAAATTTGTTGACATTTTGAATATAAAGGTAGAATTTATTTCTCTCTGAATCGCAAAAATCTATTATTTGTTGGTATTTTCAATCGCAAGGTTTGATATTTTCAACTGTGAATCGCAAAACCCAAATTTTTCTTTATATTTTCTGAATCGCAAAAATCACATTTATTTTTTCACAATTTGAATCGCAATACGAAATATATACAATTCTGAATCGTAAAACCTTCATCAGTGTTTACATTGTGGTCCTTCAAGAGGGTGTGTCTACGGAGGTGTTACCGACTTGGCCCGACTCATAGAAACCGTGTACAGTATTCCGACCGTGAGAACTCTATTGTGAAGAGAAGGATATTGAATTTACGATCTTATGAAACTTATATCGGGTCATATTTTCGGGGTGAGCTTTCCAGGAGGGCGACATTTTGGCTACATTTCAATAGTAGTATCCGAGAAACATTTTGACCTGAGGTGACGACAGGTAGGAGTTGAATCACCTTTTTTGTTTACTCAATTTAGGTGGGATTGTATTTGTTTGTCTTTCAGGTAAATTAAACGGGGTGATTTGTGTTTGGGAGTTGTTTATATACGCACCTGGGACCTGGAATTTTAGCTAAAGTGGTCTATTTTAACTCGATTCTCCCTTAGCTAACCTAACCTAACTTAACCTAACTACACCAAACATAACTTCACCTTACCTTCCCAAACCAGACCTAACCTTCCTTCTTTTCCCTATTATTTCCCTCATTTTCCCTATTATTTCCCAATCTATTTAGGCTTCTCTACCTTCATAATCAATAGGAAGGTGACAAGACCCCTTAAAATATCACAATCTAGGGGAACTTTCTTCCCTCTTTGACCCTAGATTTTTTCCCCTGTCATTTCTGTCAGTTTTGATGAGACTTGGTTAAAAAAATAATTATCGCTTGTAACTTTCCACCTCTGGAGCTTAATTCTTTCCTGTTTTATTAAGAGTTTTGGGGGATTTTTTCCGATATAACATTGTCCTCTGTGTGTGTGTGTGTGTGTGTTTGTGTTTATTGTGTGTTGTGGTGGTTGTGACTGTGTTTTATTTTGTTCGTTTGTGTGTGTGTCTGTTTTTTTTGTGTGCGTGTCTTTGTCCATTTGAGTTGTATTTCTGGTAGGGTTTTTGTGGCACTTTTGAATTCTGACCAACTTTAAACTGGCGGCTCTTTCGGATACTGGCCATCTATAAACTGCAGCTCTTTTGAATTCTAACCAAATGGCGGCACTTTTGAATTCTGACCACCTATAAACTGCGGCTCTTTTGAATACTGACCATCTCTAAATTGGCGGCTCTTTTGAATACTGACCAACTGGCGGATCTTTTGAATTCTGACCATCTTTGAACTGCGGCTCTTTTGAATACTGACCAACTGGCGGCTCTTTTGAATTCTGACCATCTTTGAACTGCGGCTCTTTGAATTTTGACCAATTGGCGGCACTTTTGAATTCCGACCATCTTTAAACTGCGGCTCTTTTGAATTTTGACCATCTTCCACAGCTAGCATCAACATACGACAGTTTTAAAGCGACTTTGCTCTGAATTTGTGTACGAGTTACGAAAGCGTTTGTTGTCTCTGACGGGTGCCTGGGTGTGTTAACTTTATTGTGAGGCTGGCACTGCTTGGGTCTTTTGTGATGGACTTGAGTGCTGTAGAGGAGGAGGAGGAGAGGGAAGGAAGGAAGAGAGAGAGGAAGGGGGAGATAGAAGGAGAGAGGAAGAGGAGGAGTTGGAATGAGGAACTGATGAATGAAGGAAGAGAGGAAGGGGGGGATAGAAGAGGAGAGAGAGGAAGAGGAGTTGGAATGAGGAACTGATGAATGGAAGGAAGAAAGAGAGAGAGAGGAAGAGATAGAAGGAGAGAGGAAGAGGGAGGAGTTGGAATGAGGAACTGATGAATGAAGGAGAAGAGAGAGAGAGAGGAAGGGGGGGATAGAAAGGAGAGAGGAAGAGGAGTTGGAATGAGGAACTTGATGAATGAAGAAGGGAAGAGAGAGGAAGAGATAGAAGGAGAGAGGAGAAGAGGAGGAGTTGGAATGAGGAACTGATGAATGAAGGAAGAGAGAGAGAGAGAGAGGAAGAGGAGAAGTTGGAATGAGGAACTGATGAATGAAGGAAGAGAGGAAGGGGTTAGAAAGGAGAAGGAAGGGGTGGAGAAAGGAGAATTGATGAATGAAGGAAGGAAGAAGAGAGAGAAAATTAGGAGAAGAGAGGGAGTTGGAGGGGCACTGTGGTTGATGAAGGAAGAAAGCGAGAGAGAAAAGAAGGTTAGAAAAGAGTGAAGAAGGAGAGGAAGAGGGGGTGATGAACGAAGGGAAGATTGAAAAAAAGTTAGAAGAAGGGAGGGAAGAGATGAATTGGAAGGGGAAGGAAGAAGGAAGGAGAGGTGGGACAGTAACAGGAAAAGGACACAAAGAGAGATGAAGAGGGAGAATATTGGAGGAACAGACAAAGAGATGAGGAAGGAGGAGGAAAGGAGAGAGAAAGAAAAGAGACACTGAAGAAAGAAAGGAGGAAGAAGGGTGGATAGAGAGACTGAATAAGAAAAGGGAGACACACAGATGGAGATTAAGAAAAAAACAGATCGAAGTAGAAAAAAGAAAAGAGAAGGAAGGAATGAGAAAGAGGAAAAGAGAAGAGAAGGAAGAATGAGAGAAGAGGAAAAGAGACAGATTGAGACATAAGGAGAAAAGCGATAAGAAAAATAGAAACATGATGGGAAAGTTTGCTGAAGAATAGGAGATAACTGATGAATGGCGGGGAAAGAAAGGGAGGAGAAAGTTTTGATGAGGAACGACAACTTTTGGATGATGGAAAGTTTGGAAAATATAAAAGGAACGAAATAAAGAAACTGTTATTGGAAGAACAGTGATGTGAAAGTAATGATAAAATGATTATGATGATGATAATTTTGTTGGTAATAATAATAGTAACTAGTAGTAGTATGGTGTGTAGGGAGTCCTTGTTACCTGACTTATTACATCCTGTACCTGAGATTATTGTTTTTATTTATTATTTTGTATTATTATTGTTATTACTCTATTATTATTATTATTTGTTGCGGTTGTTACTTCTGTTGTTGTTGTTATTGGTGTCTCTGTTGTAGTTATTTTCATTACTGCTCTGGTTGTTCTTGTTGTGATTGTTGTTCAGGTTGTGGTTTTTAATGTTCTTGTTTTTGTTATTTTTCTGGTTGTGGTAGTTTGCTGGAGCTCGTGTCCGGACTCTTAACTATGAGGGAGGCTTCAGAAGCTTCATTAATCATACTTGACTGTGTAGGGCTTCTTGTGGGTTAGTCCTATTATGGCTGTCTCTCTCTCTCTCTCTCTCTCTCTCGTGCAGTACATTTCAAGCAAGTTGTTTATTTCCATTTTGAATTCTATCGTGACAGGTGCTTGAAATATCTCTTTCTCTCCCTTCCACATGCACTGTTTCTCTCCTCCACATGCACTGCTTCTCTCCCTTCCACATACACTGTTTCTCTCCCTTCCACATACACTGTTTCTCTCCTTCCACATACACTGTGTCTCACTCTCATGTGTGTTTGAGATGTCTCTATCCCACATGGAACAGTTGTTTGAGATTGCTTGTTGCCTCTTTCTGTCCTGGGGTGGGTGGGTCGGGACGGATGGACCGAACAGGACATAGCAATTCAACCTTTACGTCCATCTGTCCAATTGTTGTCAGCGATAAGTTGAACAAACAGCTATAAACAGTCACTAAAGTCTGCGTGTGGTGTATCACAATAATATTTTGGACCAGTTCAATTATAGACAAGTTCTGTCGACGGTGTTCAAAGTTATGTCCGCTTGAACTTGTGTCTGACGCAGTGGGTAGTTGCTAACCTTGTTCATCCTGGTTTTGATCGTCCTGGAAA